GTACATTATACTGCACTTGATTTGTGTATCGAAAAGATGTTATGTTTACTCATTCTTGCCTGGTGGATGGTTCTAGTATTCTTACAAGTGAACGAAGATAGGGCAGCTAGCTTAATTTGTCTTACTGTATTATTCGAGCACGCGGTTTAGCTAATTATTGGTTTTGTTTGAGGTGTGTCGGTCACTCACAATCGAAATGACCGGAATGGAATCAAAACCTGTTCAGCTTGTCATCCGGTTTTTTCAGCTCTCTGATTTATTGGATGAGCTTTATAATAAGGTCGTCTATGATACTATGTTATTTGTACAGTTGTTGTTCATGAACGACTTACTACGTTGTGAGATTGCACCGACATTTATAAGAATAATGATCATTTGTTCAGAAGAACGGTGATTATATACAATTTTAGGCCTACGGTTCTCGTATTTTTCACAGCCCTGCCTATCATTGTTTTAACCAGCAGTGGATATCTTATGTTCAGAGAATCAGTGGTATGAAAGAACGCTTTTTACGGTTTCTTCGATGACTGAGATAGGCGATGTTTCCTCCTCTCATTTGTTGTTAGGGTGTATTTTTCTTCGACAGTTCGTTGTGCATTTTCAGTGGAGATGTAAATTTGAGTGAAGAAACAACGGAGTGAAATCAGGCATATAAACCATTGGCAAGAACGTTTTAGCACGTGTGCAAAATCTTTATTTCAAGATACTTGGTTCGTTTTAATCTGCAGTAGTTTAAAGTGCAGTGGTTACAGTGATTGAACTAGATGTGCTTATGATTTTGTTGAATTAATATTATCCTATGCTGGCAAGGGGACCTCTGTTTACTATCCGAAAGCTGCGTCAGTTTAAATAAATATCTTGTCCAGGTTATGAATCGTTTTAGTGGTTGATGAATATCCGTATTGGGTTGTATATACTAGCACTGTATACAAGTAAGCTTTATACCGTACGCAGTACATAAAAGTACCATACAAGTACATAAGTATACCTTCACTGGCCATGTGGTTCATTTGTATGACTGACCGGGGTTGCTTAGCTGATTGAGCGTCAGACTCAGAATCGAGAGATCTGGGGGGGAGTTCGTAACGTGGCTGGTCGGATCAGCCGCATTTCTTCCTTCAGAGGTAAATGAGCGCCACCTTGTGCGAATGGAGCAGAAAATTACATGCTATGCTTGCAACGTTGCTGTTGTCGACTCTTCCTTTAAAATGAGACATTACTGGCAGATATAATGGAACTGGAGTTTAGTTAGCACCCACATCATTAACTGAAATGAATAGAATGGCTCCAGAAGTGGCCCCAGCATGAAAATGTAAGGAAAACGGAGCTTCCAACGATTGCAAACTTTCTTTTCCTGTTTGACTGACAGTGATATGATTGCGATCTGAATCTCTACCGAATTACTCGTATTTTACCCTGTTAAAGTATGCTTAAACAAATAATAGTGTTTTGATAAAAAATAACGAACTGCAAGCTGGTGTTAATTGGACCCAGTACCAAAAGCACGGTTTAAGCTGATGGCAGAATACTTTTAAAAAGTTTGTTTTGAGGCCATTGTCGGTTTTCCGTTGACTCAGTGTTTGTGTACAGAAAAATCTAATAACAAGCTTGATTTTTAGCGATGCGCTTTTGGCACCTTTTCGTAGTGTGCGCAGATGCCACGGTTGACAGTAGCGAGTGATATGGGTTTCGGTACGTGCATTCGCAGCAGATTTGTATCCATATGTATACGGTTCTTCCGGTGGCTTCCGGTTGTCTTCATCGTCGCCGTTGTCGCATGGTCATACTACGCTTACGTTATCGAATTATGCATCTGTAAGTCATTCAGTGTCATTTCCTGTATACAGTGGTTCTCATGTGCTCAGTGTTTTGTAGGTACCGTTACTTCGGACGCCGAAAGAAGTAAGAGCTGCCT